AAAATTACCATCAAGTAATAAGTACTAAATAATTTTATTCATTAGTAAATGGCTCCCCATTTGAAGGATTGAATACAACCTTTTTGCTAAAACAATCTATGGTGGCGTGATACGCCGCTAGCCAATTCATCCCTAAAATTACATCAAAATCCCCTGTGTCTAATTCTATAAGGTCTACACTCAGTTTCCTATTTGCTATCTCCACGGTACAAGCCTTATAGACAACTTCTCCTAATAATGTTGCACTCCTAGCAGTAGATACAATTAATATCGAATCAAGTTTATCAGCCAATACATTAAATTTAGATGTAAAAATAGGTGAAACAAATGAATGCGATGCACTAGTGTCAAACAAAACATGAGCAAAATGGTTACAGATAGTGTACTTACCCTGTACTACGTTCGGGTTGGCATCGGTATCCTGTTGGGTAAGGTTGTAAACCCTGCCTTGAATAGGAGGTCTTCCTTGATTCTGGTTCCTTAGGCACTCTCTCGCATAGTGTTGGGCAGTATCACATATGCGACAAGTGTTGTTGAGGCGGTAACATGGTCGGTCCCCGTGATCTCTGCCGCAATGCTAATAGATCTTACCACGTCCTACTACTGGAGCTTGAGGGGGAGCCTGGATCACCAGTCTGGGCCTCTTATTTTGTTGGATGGGCGCAGTAGGTGCTGGTCTGTGGAGTGAAACTGAGGGTCTGTGGTTCCCTGCTAACTGAGGGAGGGTGTGGAGGCTTCTCTCCACTAACTGTGCCTTGGCCAGAACGACTAAGTATGTCTTGAGCTCCAGTATAAATAAGTGTTGCTTGATCTCTGAGCGGAGGCCCCACTGAAACCTCCAGCATTCCTGCCCTCATCCATCAACGTCTCAGGAGAGTATCGGCCCAACTCCAAGAACTTATGAGCATATTCCGACACCGTTATGTTTCCCTGGACTAACTAGACAAACTCCATCTCCTTTAGATGTCGGATGTGCTCTGAGAGATACTCTGCATAGAAGGCTGCTAAGAACTGTTCCCAAGTGACTAGAACAGGTAAGGTGGTCTGCTTGAATTCCCACCAACGATCTGCTTCTCCCACCAGCATGTAGGTAACAAGGGTGACCTTCTACTCGGGAACCACTCCTAGAGTCTTAAAAGCCTTCTCCGTCTCCGCCAACCAGTACTGGACATCTTCAAAAGAGGATTCCCTTGCAAAAGTGGAAGGATTCAGTCTCCTGTACCTCTTTACATAGCTCGGGTCAATCAAGGAAGGAGCTGGGTCCTGCAGAAGAGGAACTGGGCCAGGCTGAGGATAAACTGGGGGGCCCTGTGGTGGTACTTGTTGGTATGGTGGGGGCACCAGATTATATTGTAGCGGTGTCAGACAGTACTACGACTGGGGCACTAGATTATAATACGGTGGTGGCACCGGGTGGTATTGTGGAGGAGCAGGCTCGTACCAGGGTGGCTCGGGATTCTCTTGCTACAGTGGTGGCTCAACTTGTGGCAGTGGGGGAGGGTCAGGTAGTTCCCTTCTCTCATCTCGACCCTGCTGGGCAACAATGAGCCTCTCCAGCATCTTAAATATTCTATCAACGTCCTCCCAAAGCGAACCATCCTGAACTACTTGGTTTAGCGGGGGTCTTCCTCTTCTCATCTCTCTGCACCTGTATTTCACAAGGAAGGGTTTAGCATTGATTCAGTGGTTTGGTGTTTCTCTAAGAATCATTGTGTAAGGGACGAGTCCGAGGAACGTGGCTCTGATACCACTGTAACGACCCCTAAAATTAAAAGGAAATGTATATAGACTATAGTACGGAGCGAAATAAAAGTTCTGGTTATATCCCTTATACATATTTAAACGTATTAACATACCGACATAATCATCTAAAGAAA